AGAGATAACCCTAGGTTCGATTTCACTTCGAGGACTATAATTATTTTAAAATAAAACGCAAAAATTTGTAGATAAAATATAAATCAGTACCACGAAATTACTTATTGTAACCCATGAAATTTGTCCCATAACGCCGAGCAATATCCTCTTGAGCAAACTAGCTTTCAGAAGAAAGTCGATTATAGGTAATGCGAGCACTGCAAGAGCCATTACGGAACGGAAACTGAAATTTGATTTTGTGTCCTGTCCCGGGTATCGTTCCTCGCCGCATGACTCCGGCTCGCGCTGCGCCGCGTCCTGAATCCGCAATAGTCCTGGAACACGGTTACACCGTCAGCTGATACAAGTGGCTCTACGTGATCCGCTAACAAAGCGGCCCGGAGAAAAGTATAATTGAATTAATAAACTAGCACGAAATCTGGCGGCCGACTTATTTACCTCGGTACAACTGCAACCGGCACTGCGGAGGTTCAAGGAAATAAAAGAAAAATACCTGGGCTCTGTACCCCGTGCGAAATTTATTTCCTCCGCGCTATCTTATCTCCGTAATGTCATTTCACGCGGCGAATTGCCCGCGCTATAAAAACGTAGCTGCATTTCTTCGGTACGATTCAGGCGCATTAATTATTTATTATCCAGATTTTGCACTATAAAAAGGAACAATTTTCCGCGATATTAAATATATAATTGGTGCCCTCAATATTTTAATAGTATTTAAAAAACCTGAAATTTCTCCGGGACGACGGATTTATTTAAGAATAGATTGAATTATTAACAGCAGTCTATGCAGTTTATTAGAAGATTAGCGAAAGCCGTAACGGGTTAAACTGTACAGTTGACGAATCGCCGGATAAGCGAAAGGAAATTCTCAAACTTGAGACGCTCACTTCGCAAATATTAGTCCAGCATCCGTTTACATGGTCGTAACAACGATACATTCGCGCTGATACGGAACGGTGAAATTGCTCCTCGCAGTATTACTCGTGCAAACATATTCGGACTAGTTAAGACGCATCAATTCCGTTTGCACACCGTGAATTGTGAGCTCAATAATATCCGTCGGATAGATGTTACTTTAGACATACTTGTTCTAATTACAACTGCTTCTGAGCATTTCGTCCTATTTTTCACACAGCGAGTTCCTCGGACGCGAACCTCTGTAACCAAGGATGCTGCACGTGTGAAACGTGTGAAACGAGCGGGTTAACCGCGACGCTTGTATATTTCCTCGCGAATAAAAAACGCGGAGGTACAAGTGGCCCGGACGGAGACAACCACCTTACAAGGGGTCGCAAACCTTCAACGAAACGCGCCTTAATTAGCCTAGTAGAACAGCATTGTGCCTCGTGGCTACGGTGTTCTCCACCTCGCCTTCGTCTCACCCTCGTTGGGTTTTCTCTCCTCGCCCATTCTCTCGCGAAGTAATTTTTGAAACGAGCTGGTTACTCGCGAGGAAACACGGCGAGGGTACGTATCCGCCCTCCTCCCGAGTGCTTTCTAGAGAAACCGGAAATGGAACTCGGAACTTCCTCGCTGTTCGTTCATCGACGCACGTATCAGGTTATGGGGTCAACCACGTTGTTCCACCCTGTTACGTTACATTGAAAAGTCGATCGTTTCGTTGTTGGCTCGTTGCCATTCGAGATTGACGCGGGAAGCGAAACGGGCAGGCGACCCGTGGAATCATAACGATCCCCAATCGCCATATGTTATTCTTTTATGCCTCCGATATGAACATTTAATTAAAAAATTATTATATTTTTATGTGTCAAATGTATTCTAACGAAAAGACTGAATAATCTTGTTTAAAACCGGTTCATTTTTTTTCCACCGAATAATTCCGGCATTATTTTTTTGGAGAGTTACCCTCGATACGGATCTCTCCGGATGGTTTCTGGGTACAATATTAACCACGCTTTGGTATCCGCGTATGCGTTAACGTTACGTTTCTATTGTCTGTCGCAGAGTTTACGCAACATGATGACAGCCAATACGACGGACGCTTGTGAAACGCGTGATCCCTGCCAACACAACGGGATCTGCATCTCGACCGACAGTGGACCCATCTGCGAGTGCCGGTCCGGCGATTATGAGGGTGCCTATTGTGAGAAAGGTAAGTTGTTTTGCATTCGAGAGGTTCGTTGTTTACGATCGTTTATTGTACGCCCTACGCACGGGAACTATGATTCCCTGCGATGACAGTCACGGTTTAGTTCGTCGCGTTTCGATCTCGTTCTTGGTCGATCGAACCTTTGTGCGAAACTGAACCACCACCGTGCGCGAGATCACCTGGTTGATGTACTAACCACTGGCAATTGCAGGTATTTGTGTTCAGAGATTGAAATCGGTACCGCAGTAGAAAAAACTAGTGTATCACGAATTTGAACATTTTATCTAGTCGTCGTTTATACTTAATTCCTTTTTATAATGAGTATATATGGAAGATTGAAGTAGATACATATGTTGATAGTAGAAATATGAACATGAATCATGAATGCAGGATATTAATGTCGGTGGTACATTTATGAACAGTTGAATACTAGCGCTCTAATTAAACGTAATCCAATCAATTGGATGTTAATTACATTCAACAATGGAGATAACGTTATTAATATATGGAGCGATAATTAATGCACACATTCTATAACAATGATATCGTCCAAGTTCAATACATTATTCCATTTGCTATACTATAATATCATCCAGTTCCGCATAGCTTTCGTAATTACTTCGGTACAGTTTTTTCATCTAACTAAACAGATAGAATATTTTCTTAGGATTAATAAAAATTTTGTCGACACATGAAAATTAAAATTCGTCGAACTTGCAAAGCCACTTATTAAATAAAATGGAAGCTACGCGTTTCATATGAAATATAAAATTCAATATTGAAGTAAAAACCCCTGATTTTCTCTTAGCTCTATTTGCATATTAAAATTCGCAGTTCTCTATAGTGATTTATTTGATCGCAACAGCGTACGAACAGAGAGTAATGAAATTTCTGTATACCGAATATACCTTTATTTAATAAGCGCTTGCAGCCGTTGTATGTTTCAAAGATACTCAAGAATAATGTCATCAGTAGCGGCGAGCGATGATATTGCAGGTGGAATCTTTAAACGCGGAATCCTGCTTAACGCTCGGGCTTGTCAATAACGACGTCAGGGATTTGTATTTTAATAATGGAAATTTTTACTCATCATCGTCGACCTGACGTTTCGTTTGTCAATGAACGGAGGACGCCCCGATATCGCGGAAATATTTCGCGTTTCGTACATGCCAGCGGAATAACTCGCGCACGTGCATACATACATACATAGTACAATTCAATTAATCGCGATACCGACGCGGCACGACCTCTTTTCACAATCAGCCTTTTACACCGCTACACTTTCCACGCTGTTAATCCGTTAATGCGAGGCTGGCTCGAGTTCTAAAAGTGATATCGATCACCGCATAGCTCACGCTGGTCTAGTTCAAATTTTTACTCCAGCTCCGATTTATTTCGACGGTGAAAAGTTTATCATCTATGTACGGTGCTGAAATGATTAAATGTAGTATAGAAAATGTTTATTTTATAATCGTATGGACGTCCGCGTCAGGACAGAATTTTAATTACAACGAGCATCGATTTCTCATTTTTTCGATCTCTTAACAAGACTGTTTATGTAATCAGCAGAGTTTCGTACCACTTGTAGTCACCGAACTGTACCGCTAATAATTTTATTCTACGCGATACCCACGGCGAACTTCGACTTTTACCCTGCACGCTATTAGCCACACGCGGCTTACTCTGTTTCATTCATTGTTGAGCGATAAAATATGGCTGGTGTTCTATCGCGCGGCGATAAAATTCAGGGTATAAATTTTCGAAAGAAGTAAGTAAATGAAATCCGTGGCTTCCGGGTAACGTGAGACCGTTGCAACGGATAACACGAGAATAAGTTACCTGCATTCGAATTATAAATAATTTTCAAAACCCAACTGAGTTACATCTTGTTGAAATTAAACGTGCGTACACAGTTTAACCCAATTCGTTCCATGTACCGAAAATAAGGTCGTCGCTCATCAAAGGCGCGAATTAATTTAATTCACGAGCTCGTAAATCACTCGGGCTAAGGGCTCCTTTTCCTCTGGTTATTTTTCTAAGAATTTAAATGAAATGCGAGATCACGTTTCAACAAATTCGAAATGTATTCGCGTGCTTCCTTCGCGAACAACAGGATTTTCTTTAATTGGGTTTATCCATACGGCGAGAATTACTGAGAATGCGTTTACGCTCGCGAATGCTAATGCCGCTGGATGTTTCGGAATCGATGCGACGCGCTCCACACTCTGTCCAACGTTTGTTCCCATCGTGAAAAAAACCGACCGCCAGTCACGCGACAATGAATTCACCCCTACGAGCTTTTCACTCCCTTTCTCCCTTTCTCCCTTTCTCTCATTATAATACATTTGAATAAGTCTGGAATTTTTATCCCCCGAGGACGAATTTTTATCGTGTTTCCCGCGACGAAAACTGATCCCAAAAATTAGCAGCAGGAAGTGGGTAACGTAGCAGTGATAATAATGTATGTGCGTCGCAGCGTCGACAATTTTGGCATTTTGGCAAACTCTGCTATAGCTGCACCAATCGAAAGTGAAGTCATTGTGTTTTCCGAAACTGAGTTGTTGTGCAGCTAGTGCTGTTGACCAGATTTGGGAAAGGAAAGTACAGAACCCAAACGGCTTAAGAACCATTACGGTCATAAATTGTCCGAAAAACGAAAAACAAATACACAAGTTCCGACGTCTGGCCGTTTGCTGGATGTCTCTTCTAAATGACGGTCGTTTACGACCTAACATCCTTGGAGTTTTAGACTAGCTCTTAGTTAGCTCTTCCTCAATGAAACCGAAATAGAGAATTTTAAACTGATGAATATGCATGAGAAATATTCTGATTTCAAAATTCCGCGATGGAACGAGTTTTATTCTGCAATAGTATTTTTAGCAGCATTAGAAAATTGGAAGCACTGCACAGTCGCATGAAGTCATTTAACAAATCTTTCCTCCGGTACCCCGCATTACAACTTTTGACCTTTTTCGTAGATAACAGCCTGCTCCTCCTTCATTATCTTCAAAACTGATTGTTAAACAATCGTGCGTTCGCTCCTAACTTTTGGATCGCGTGCACTCGAACCATTCCGAAAGGGAAAAAGCTGTTCGCTCTGTACCTTGTTCTACGGTCTATTTAAACGTGTCCTTAGGTAACGCTGTACTTTCGAATGAGTTTTCCTTTTATCCATCTCTCGTAAAGTGATATTTCGTTTAAACGGCTGTCAAAGTTGAAGGCAGTAAATTACATTGTTTGGCGCGGTGAGAAATACATTTTTCTACTTGACATATTTTTCACAAGTAATGAAGGGAGTTTAAATGGATAGAAAGTAGAGGTTCCGTTCTACGAGCCATAAAATATCAATATTCCGAGAAAATAAGGATACAAAAAAGTAATAAGACAGTTTAAAACAATTTTATATCGAACTGTTCGACAAAGAGAATTTCTTCAGAAAGGAATACTAGGGATAAAAACTACACGAAGGACGAATTAATCTCCCGTTCTTCTCTTTCCGTCAACGTCCGGAATTACAAGGTTGAAACTTATTAAGGATGTGTAGGCTGTACACATGAACAATGCTGGCATGTTGAATTTGTTATTATCGATTCCTATTACTATTAAAAAGCTAAAATTATAGTGATTTCAAATTTTTCATAGGTAATAG